AAACAATATGTTTCAGGATATCAAAGAACTTAACATTTTATTTTTCAAGGATTCAGAAAGAGACGATGGTTATGGTACGTTCCTCCTGATGACATCTTATCATACTTTGAGGCCACAATAATGATATGTCTATACATCATCATCATCATCAAACCTCTACTGATTTGTCTTTTTCCCTGTTATTTCATAATATCAAATCATTTAGTCTCATTCATATACTATTTTTGAGCAACAGTATACAAGATATACGAAATATGTTCCAGTCCGTTTTGAATCTCCTTTTCTGATCCGGAAACAGTAAATGAGACAGGTTTGGTTTGGCTGATCCAGCAAGTCCACGTATCTGTATACATTAGCATGCATTGTTTACCGCAGTTACATATACCTCCTAAGCATGAAAATATGAAAATGACTGCATCGCCCTTTGGAGAAGAATATCACACGTTAAACCCAAGTGGGTAATCAAATACGGGAAGAGCGAATGCCAAACCATTAAGCTACCCCTGAATTACATCGTCTTGGTACTATCTGTGGGATTAAGAGCAATAATTATCTGCAGTAGTTTCCTTGACGAACCATAATCTGCACATGCTTGTCATAAATACCTTAATGTAATATGTCTTTATAACAGATGATGCAGTTCATGACTACCAAAACTTTAAAGAAAGTCAAACCTCCTCGTCAGTAGAAGAACCGTTGTATGAAGAATTGGGACCCAAAGGAAGATGTGGGTTCTCTGGTAAGGAGAATCACTTTTCCCTCTGTATTGCCGTCTGTGCAGAGTTGCAATGTACCATTATTTCACATCCAGGATCCTTCAGCTCGTACCCAAACATAGTATCTACCTAAAACTGAAATATACTTGTCGAATATTCAACAACGACCTGTAACACCCATTTGATTCCATTTAGTGTCGATATTAGTTGTCACTGTAGTAGCCCTATGATGTGAAGTAAATTGAAATGTTCATACCATGTACATCAAACGCGTGGCATTACAAGATGGTTTTATTATCGGAAATTAATCTGCCAGTTCCGGTACATTTGTTTTTAAAAAAAAATCACTTACTTTGATGTAATCACTTCCACACAAGCATCAGATTACAATATCACTATTTATTCCCTCATACGATTCTTAGCTGAAACCAAACCAGAGGATGGATGTACTGCGTCGACGCCTGACACAAACAGAGGAGTCACAGTTGAATACAGAAAACATCCCAGGAATATACGGCTGTGTGACTGTTGAAGAAAGCAATCAAACAGAATACCTGGTAAACATGTCACCTAATAATGATGATATCAGCAGAATGTTTCCATAGCCAATTCAGATTCTTTGATCTTTTCAACAAAACATACACTCAGAGGATCTGTGGAACAAGTATAAGCTACGCATCCTTTTATATACAACAATCGTATTTACGGTCTTAACAGTTAATCCACCAATAATATTATTGTGTAGACAACATGATTAACAATTATGACTTCGCCTCTCCTTAGAAATAGAAAGATGCATATATATAATAACAATCCCATTTGTAGCAAAGGTACATTGCAATTCACAGGTGTACGATTTCCCAACTGGACACTGTGTTTCCTTGAGCAACGTGGTGGACGTTAGGTGCTTCGGCCTCTGGTCTGTGAAGTACATTCGCTGTTTGAGTGCAGTAGCAAGGACGTTGTCTCTTCTTCATCAGCGAAACTGGGTCCACGGTTGTCTGAGTACAGATAACATATGGATATGTGATACTAAAGATGATGGCGATTACAAGGTGAGGGCGGCATGTAATAAGGTTCATGCTACCATCCTATGTCCTCAAAGATATATTATGGCATTTACATAATGCACGCAATTGTATATATCCACGCAACTAATACATGCTCAACGTGCTGGGGTTTTCCCTCAATCATTGGTTGTCAATCTCAACGATGCTTCGTATTATCAATCTCAACTCTCTGAGGAACATACAACTCTTGCAGCCACTAGGCGCACCAAGTTATTGCGGCTTTCCCCTCCTTACGAGGTACCTATTGACAGCTGTGTGGACTGGAACACATAGTCAAGGTACTAGGTACATAGATAGATAGATGCACGTATTCATGTGGCCACCATCTGGTCATTTACCAACGGATACGTGGGTTCTTTTAAGTGCACAGGGTTGTGTGTTGTACACTAGGGGTTGTGACAACACTTAAAGAGTCTTCACACAACGTTGACTCCAAGCTTTTTACACCCGGTCACAAGTGGGCTCGATTCCGGCACCTCAAGCTCACTAGCGCCTTAGACAGCTCTCCCACCAAGCCCAAAGACATCTGGTTGACACCAGCCAATGCTTGTATTTAGTGATGAAACTACTAAGCTGATCTGGAAATAAGAAGGGCCACACGAGTGGTCAATTGACTGACAGGGCGCCGCAATTAGACGAACCGATCTCCTGTCACTAACGCATGACATAAAACTTTGTTCGTGGGTTCGAATCTCCGCTCTCCAAGGATTAGCCCCATTTCGAGCTTTTTCCTAAGGCTGACAAGTATAACAAATATAATCCTCTACTACAAATGCAATCAAATCCCCTTACTGTTTTGCCCATCTCAACACATTAACTCAATTCTCCGATAACAATTGCTTAGTGACTCCACCAGATAAACCTCTTAATTCTCTTCAGCAACCGGAGAGAAATAAAGACATACTAATTCCTTTCGCTTGCTAAGCTGCTATCCTCATAATCTTATAGAATAGTTGTCAAGTCGTTCAATGAGATAAATGTGATATTTGACAAAAAAACAACCTCACTATCTCATCTGAATTTGCACCTAACAAACTTCCCTCTCTTCATGTCACAGGTATACTTCTCTGACCTTGGGTACATACGAAGATCATGTAACATTGAGGATGGGGTGATTGCTGATGAAAGTTTTGTTGTCCCACAGGATGAACATGTGTACAGAAGGTAGGGTCTTGGGCTTCATAAACTTTGTCATTTTATGGCGATTTATTGATAACAGGTTCTCAAATTTCAGGATATCAGTACTATAAGAGTCTCAGTGCCTATCCACTTCGTAGCAGCAATTTGCTATACAGAGTAGTTACCATGTTCGTTGATTTTACCCAAGTGGCCCTTACTGCATCTCATTCTTCTTACATTCAGGGGCGGTGGGAGAGCTTAGTGGTTAAAGCGTTCACTCTTCACACTGAAGACTTCACGTTCGAGCCCCTACCTGGGTACAATGTGTGAAGCCCATTCCTTGTGTCACCCGCCGTGATATTGCTTAAATATTGTTAAAAGCGGCGTAAAACTAAACTCACTCCCTCTTCTTACATTCAGTTTACAGTCACTGTAATATAAGACAGCGTAAAACCTACTCGTAACATATTCGCCCTCATTAAAAAAATGTTTGCTATAGCTTCGTCCCTACTGATACATCATTTGGTTTTGCCAGATCATCTCCTGAGGTAATACGAGATGGTACCTACTCATGGGCGAGTGATGTCTTCAGTTTTGGTCTGATCCTGTGGAGTGGCTTCTCCAACTTTAGCTCCTACCATAATCTAAAGGATCTAAACAAACTCGAGAGTATTCCAAAAGATCAGGTAACTTCATTGCTGAACAGCATTTATTTTCTATTTGTCGTGATGCACCGTCCTCAGTTCCTGTGTCAGGCATAAGCTCTGCTAATGATGTCTGGTTGATCTGACCCCTTTTGTCATCGTTGGTTTCATCAACGGCATCTTTTGCACAAACATTACACTGCCGTACACTAACTACCCAGAATTAAAACATTACTTCAACCATCTACTCAGCTATTGTGATCAGTTGTCCTGTATCCAACACCCCCCAGATAGGTGTTAAACATTAGCCTGCTGATGATCTTCTTTTCACAGTTATATGAGTACCTGACCACTACATCTGGAAATCAGATTCTTCCCAAACCGGCTAAGTGTCCGGATTCAATCTACTCTCTCATGCTTCTCTGTTGGAGTCCCGAACGACATGAACGACCACGGATGACTATTGTTCAACAAAAACTCTTGGAATCCATCAGGTATTTGTTCAAAATAAAAACTTTGCAATCAACATTCGTATAACCACATTTTTGTATATTCTACTTTTCGTCTATTTTGTGTACCATATGCGTTTTAAACGATTCTTAATATTTGCAAGTGGATTTAGATACTGAATATGCTATCATACACAATTATTCCATTCTTAATGTCGGGATTGGAATCAAACATGAGCAGGTCCTGATGAACTTCATCCAAGCCATCATCTTGATATAAAACCAGTGTCAATTTTGTCTACCTCAACCGTTTGAAATTCTCCTTTCGAGAAGATGGAATAACCTGAATTGCTCTGCCCATTTGCCATTACTTTAACATTGTGCATGTTATTTCAGTGATGAAGTCAGTCCCTGTCAAGATCGGGATCAATATGATTCTGTCGTTACTGAAGGGCAATCAAGTGAAGATGATCTTTATGCCGATCCTGATCCTGATCCATATTACACAGAAACCAAAGTGTCAAGTGGCCATAATACTGTGGCGGAATGTTCAGAGATTAATAGGTTACCTTCGTCATTTTCTCCTGCAACACAAGCAGGCGGCAGCACAACAGCCCTCCATCAGGAAAAGTTAAAAAGGCAAAGCCCCAAGACATCCCAAGCTCCGGAGACCATAGCGTCTGGTGACTATGACGAAGTGGAGAATTCCTCCTTACAACATGATGGGTCGAGATCGTCCTATATTTCATCAACAATGGAAGACTCAAATGTGTTGGTTAACAGAGAAACAGCTTTACGTCAGGAAAATGCAAAAACGCAAAACACATCACAAGTTTCTTTTACCAGGCCAATCCTTCAACCCAAACCATTACCAGACAATGAGAAACAGGGAAAAGGCATGCACTTACAGAAGTTCCTAACGGGATCAGCAGCACACCTGAACGGCACACAGGACACAGCATGTGACCAAATACCACAAGTTGGTAAGTCAACTTATGTTTCCCAATTGAACCTGGAATCTTTACCTCAAGACTCGATATCCGTCTGCAGCGAAGCTACACAGTATGAAATGTTTAATGACTCAACGTATATTGTTGAGAAACCGAAAAGGAATGAGAAGCCACGCCTCCCTCCGAAGCCAAAACATATGCTTCGGAAAACGCAAGTTGCATCTTCAAGTGATGATCAACCACATGTTTGTGAAGAAATATATGACTGTGGGTACTCTGTACATACAAGTATTCAAGGACCTTCTGGAAACAGACCAGAATCACGGCAACCATCAAATCAAACTGAACTGAAATCCCACACTGTGCCACGTCGTGTAGAAAATGCCGATCGACCACCTTCGCCCCAAAGTCCTCCACCACTACCACAACGTCCGCCTCCACGACGGAACAGTGAAAAAAGTAACAGTTGATGGAACAGCTCAGGTCGATCCTCTTTGTGAAAAATGACCTTGTGTCATGAAAACTATTTTGGGGGTCCAAGGACCTCATCCATCTGTAACCTACCTCTGTAGGCTACCTCAGGTTTACCTGTTCGTTTATACATGGACCATATGTCAAACTATTTCCAGTTAGCATTGACTAACGAGCATTTGTGACAAAATATTTCCAACTTATTTTACTTTCCATTGAATCACTTATTTTATACATTTTCTGACGTTTGTATTTCACTATATTCTTGTTATATATATATCATCAATAGAAATGATCATATTTATGTTCATTATATATGGACCAAATCTCTCTATCTAGAATGTACTGTTCTTAGAGTTAAAGAAAAAGATATATGTATCTATACTATAGATCTGGCGATCCATGCGCCCAGGTCAACATATTGCCTCAATGCAAGTCGGAGTTGTAGGCAATAGGTTTCTTGCACGCGTAGTTGTAATGTTATATGTGTAGTGTGTGTATCAGTTGTCTTAACTTGAGTTGGGAACAATGTATTCACCTCGAAATAATTTACGTGTCACAAATTCTTCTTTTTGTTGTTTTTCAAATCCACACTCCATGCTGTGTTCATAATGGTGTAGTGAAGAGTCAATGTTTCAAAACACATTTGTGTTAAAGTTACCAGAAATACCTTTGATAGCCTGTAACAACTTAACCAATAATTATCTTTCTTAAGTATATTGATAACACATTGCCAAATACTTTCTTAAAATGTACTTTACTTTTCTGGATTATCTTGTGGCGTGTGGCTGTAAAAACCCTACTCGTCACTGTTCTGTGATCGGCCGATCGCCCCCTGTTCTGTTCCTTCGTGTTCATTGGGCCATCGCTAGAAAATGTGTTTTCAGTAAATTATATTCTCCAGCATCGTATTCTCTCATCATGTGTTCGTTTGATATATGTCATGTCTTATGTGTATGCAGACTCCAAGCCTGCTGCAAGTGTTTTTGGTAGCTTTGATTTTCAAACAGCAGCGGGACTATTTAGTTCTATGTAGATGGGACTATTTAGTTCTATGTAGATATTTTTCATGTATTTATAGTCATTTAGCCACTTTGCTCATTGTACATAACTGTCATCTCCTATGTGTATGCAAAAATCAAGCCTGCTACAAATGTTTTCATTTCCACACAGGAGCGAGATTATTTAGTATCATGTAGATATTTTTCAGGTACATGTATTTATAGTCATATTAGTCACTTTGCTCACTGTACATATCCTCACCACAAAGATTTGCAAACTTGTAATTTAAGAAAAATTACAAAAATATTTCTGTGAGTATATTTGTCAAAGGGAGATAATCGGTATGTAATCTTTTTTTATTTTTCTGTATGGGCAAATTGCAGTAAGTACGTCCTGTTATAGTGGCGTGTAACAGTGCTGAAAATTTGGCCTTGGGTTGTGCATTGTGTTAGCGGAATGACACACTTACGTTTCCTTGCAATGATGTTGATCAGGTAGAGTGATGAGGTGTCTGGCATTGTGGTCTGTGTGGTGAAATGGATCAGTGAGTGAGTAAGTCAGTCAGTTAGAATTTGATGTTACATCGGAAATATGTATATTTTATTTTTAAAAAAGTTGTCGAAAGACAGTACGACAACAACATTATCTCATATTTTTAAGATTAGTTTGTGGATATGTTAAATGACAAACATAATATATAAAGCGGCTGGAGATTGCTAGCAACCAAAGTGAAGTCACCATACTTGGTATCGTGGGGACTCCTGTTTCCTGCACAGCTGTCCTGCAGGATACTTTTACTATCCCATCAGGTGCTAGTGATTGATCGATTGTCATGAGTGAGTGAGTTACCATTTTAGTCACATTGGCAGTATTTCATTCATATCGTGACTAAAACAAATGATACAGAAATAAGAAATAATGCATATTTTTATACTACTGGAATAAAATTTCTAATACGAAAAGATGATAACATGATTTGTTGTGTGTTCCTTAATCACTGTTTAACTGTTGACAGGATAATATCGAAATCTGTATGATTTGACATAAGGCATCGTGAGATGTGGTGTCAAAAGTCAGTTCACAATATTCAGTATCGTGTGCATCGTCTATGGGCGTTGATGCTGGCTTGACAACGACGCATAGACTACACTAAGCGATTGAGAAAGCTTGGGGAATGCTTTCCCATGTCTGTACCAACGCTTGTTCAGGTTTTTCTTGAACAAATAGAACTTTGCATGAAAAGCGCCCCAAATGTGCTCGATAGGGGACAGGTCAGAGAAACAGCTGGCCAGGGAAGTACTGGCATGTTCTGCTGTCTGTGGAAATCTGCCACAACACGAGTGGCACGTGGACAGGTATTATCTTGCTGAAGCATGAAGTTACGTCTCTGTTCTTGAATCAACGGCTGCATATGAGGCCCAAGAACCATATAGCAGTATCGCAGACCTATCCGATTGCCATTGACAATGACAAGTTGTGTCCGACCATGACCACGTGATGGCTCCCCATACCGTAATGCTCTCGCCACCAAACTGTCGACGTTGAACAAGCATACGTTGATGTCTGCATACCGTCCGTACATCCTTGCCCTGCCTTCTGAGCTGTCCAGATGAAATCACGACTCATCAGTGAACAAAAGACCATCCTAATTTTGTTTTTTGTACCGTAGATGCTGTCTGCACCAGGCAAGACGTGCCTATCGGTGACGTTCGAGCAAAACTGGACGTATTGCAGGCCATTGAGGCCGGATGTTGTGCTCCCTCAGTCGGTTCCGTACAATCCTGGTACTGATTGGACTTTAGCCAGGAAGGGTCCGAGCAGGCAAACTGGCAGTCTGATGGGTCAGCCGAATGTGGTTGTCTTGCTGACATGACGTCACACGTAGACGGCCGATCCGAGGCAAAGCTCTCATGTTCCCATAATGTTGAAAATATTCCCCATAGATATGGGATTGTGTTTCGATGGACACCCAAAGGTCTGGCCACTTCATTTTGGGCCCTTCCAGTCTCCAGCATACCCACGGCGCTGAGATTTTCTGTTAGCCGTGGCATGACAATTTTTGGCATTACATAGATGGAGGAGGATGTTCTTATTCCCTTCCCATTATGTATTAGAAACAACGTTTAATGTATGCTGTGCCTTCAGGCATTTATTTTCATAGATTTTATGTCAACTGATAATCGAAAGAGAGTTAGAGAGAGATGATTAATCAACTGGTTATTCTGTTGCAATTTGCATAATAAATATACATGGCCAGCTTTCTAACGACATTAACATCCGTTGATGCCAAAAGCATGTTATATTTATCATGCATAACGCAGGATATAAATTTAGTAAGTATAGATTTCTCACGCAGTGTTTCATACTGGACACAAACCATCAAAAGTGGTATTCATTTTCGTTTTAGCCTTCAGTACACACAGTGCATATCCTTTTATCTACCGGAATATTTACGTATCTGTCTGTTTCTGTTTTTCAGTCCATGGGATCTGCAAAGAAATTGCGCCATGGCCACGTGGAATTTTGCAATTGATAATCGTTGGAGATATAATTCCGTTCCAAAGGTATCTTTAAAGAAAGTCAATTCTTTTCTGAAGACCAAATACTGTGTCAAATATCAAAATGACATCGTCGGCTAACAATAATATGAACAGTTCAATCATCTCTGGATAAAACTGGATACAGGGTTTACACGTGGATTCAAAAGGCATGGGCTAAGTGCACGTCCCTCTCGTACATGCAAATCACAGTCAAACATATTCGAATACATTTTATTAGACTTAACACATGAACGTACTCGATTGTATATAGCTTGAACTCCGTTTAACAGTTTTGGAGACACCCCTCTCTTTATCAGCGCTAACCATGCAACTTCCTCTTTTTAATTTTGGCTGCTACGGAGCACACCCCCTGGTATAGTACCCTAGCAGCCCAGTTTGCTCCATTGGTCAAAGAATCGTGTCACGTACTTCTTTGAAGTGTTTTGGTGTGGAAGCTCGGGGATGCGGGATTAATCTGAAGGCAGATGATCCGCACCCCTTATGTTTATCATGCCGCCACTGCTCTCGGTCGTCGCCTTGTGCTGCGTACAAAGGATTGGACACCGGAGCAGTGGACCCAGTTGGAGAGGTGCGTTCGAAAGGCGTCGCGGAAACGGGAGCTTCGTTCCAAGCGACTTTCCGAACGCCGTCTCTCAAACGGGAGCTCTTCGTCGTCGGCGACGGACCTTTCTCCGACGTGGTGGCGGGTGTAGGGGCCCTCAGGGCCACCTCCCCGCTGCCCGGGACCTCCCGGATTCGTCCCAGACGTCACTGACGTCCCCGACTTACCTGTGTCTGACATCATCCTTGGTGAACTCACACCTTAAACTTCGCACTATTAAGTCTTACTGCTCTGAGATTTGTACGACAATACGCCAAAGCGGGGGTCCCGACTTCTCGGGGGATCCAGTCCTGAGAGATCTAATGACGTCAATGTCTGCGTCCGCGGTGTCAAGACAGGTGACTCCCGAATGGGATGTATTCTTAGTCCTCGAAGCTTTGAAGAAAGCCCCTTTCGAGCCAATGGAGACGGCAGTGTTACGGCTTGTTTCTTACAAAACAGCCTTCCTCACGGCTTTGGCTAAGACTCAGAAACCACAAGAGTGTTTAGCTCCGATTACACTCCCTTCTCTCTCCAATACCTTGCAGAAAGAGGATTCGAATCGCTTACTTTGTCCTGTACGCGCCCTAAAGTGGTATATCCACAGGGTTAAACCCCTACGGACTACACAGAGAAGGTTGTTTATTTCCTACTCAACGGAAGGTAGAGAAATTGCAGCAGCCTCTTTCTCTAAGTGGATTAAGGGCACTGTCAGGGTAGCCTATGATCAGGCAGGTAAATCCGACCTGCTGACCTCACACGAATGAAATCACACGAATTAAGGGCTATCTCGGCCTCACTAGCATTCGCCTCCTCAGTCTCTTTAGATGCTATTATGACGGCGGCTTACTGGAGACAACCTTCCACTTTTGCGAGATTTTATATCAGAAACGTTGCTACACAGCGAAACGGGTGTAAACGTCTTCCCCTCACAGTAGCACAGAATCTATTGCTCTGTTAATGACGATGTCGATATTTCTG